CGCATGAATGCGAATTTCCATTCGACGGCGCTATCACGCGCCGTGAGATCGCATTTAGAGATCCAGGCCAGTTCCGCCTCCTCCTCGAAATCCGTAATTTCTCTCTTTGACAGCGTATTTGCGCAAACGCAAATTCCAAACGCTACTTTCATCACACTACGCCGGCGTTACACGCGTTACAATCGCGAAAGTCGCCTGATTTTCATGAATTGTTAATAGACATAAAATGCACCTTCGATTAAAGTTTTATTATTAAAGGTTTTACGTCAAGTTAGAATTGATCGTGCAGAATAGATAAAGAAAAATTAATTGTATATAGAAAGTTAAAAAAGATTTTTTTCTCCAAAGTTGGCTAGCTAAAAAAATAATATTTTTCACACATCTTGTAAAAATTGAAGCTTTGATTTTCTAAAACGAATGTTTTAATATTTAATAAGCAACAAAGTTAACGAAAAAATTCGTTAAAATGATTTATAATATTACACGAGATAACTTGTGAATGTTGTCAAAACAGAGAAAACACAAGAAAAATTTCAATCTCAATATTATAAATTGAGTTTGTAAAAAGATATACATATATATATAAACACGATTCTCTCTCTCGCATTGAACATCGCGGTAAATCTATTTTAATAAAGGTACAAATGTAAACTCACCGATATTCTGGCCCTATTTATTCTTATTGATAAGCACTGTAATTAATAAAACTCAATTGAAATGGGATGGCTTTTGTACGTTTACATATCTTTCTCTCTCTTCAAAACTACAAAAACTCGAGAAATTTAAATTTGTTTTTTTCGTCGAGCTGTAGATGGCGTCATGTAAGATGCGTTCAGAAATCTTACCTGTAGGTTAAAGTAGTGTTAGTTGACCAATCAGAACAAAAGGAGCAAAGACTTCTTTCTTTTGATTAGTCAATTGAGTGATCCTATCTCTACCCCATACGTAGGATTTGAGAACGCACTCGTACTCATAGGGAAAATTGTGAGTCACGTGCTCATATGACAAGTTTATAACAACACGTGCTTGCGTTTTTTCCGACTTTCATAAATTGAACAGTCTATTTATTACAGCCATATATTAAGTTATGGTAGATAAAAAATGTTGTATCTGCGAAAAGGAAGATGCACCTTACAAATGTCCGATATGCAAAAAACCTTAGTAAGTGTAACTATTTAGAGATATCAAGAGGTTATATCCTCTTGAGGTTTTTTATGTTGTGTTATATTTATTAAAAATTATCGTACTATTGAATGTAAGCATCGGAAAGTTATAGTAACAATATATATCCTATCTTTATGTTAATTTATTATAACATAAAAAGTGGTTAAAAAATTTCTTTGTTGTTTTCCTTTTTACTGTATATAAATTTTAATTAAATTTGTTATTAACATTACAATATATACCTTTCTTTGTTCCAGCTGCTCTGTAACGTGTTGCAAGGAGCACAAGAGTCAAACCTGCGAGCCTCCCAAGTTACCTGAGGAACCCAAAGAACATAAGAGTGAACGGAATTACCAGTTTCCAACAGAAGACACTGTGCCTGTAGCAAAACTGCAACAATTGCGGTATAGCAAAGAACTGAAAGAATGCCTCGAACATTCCGACTTGCGCGATATTATGAAGGCAGTTCTCAACAGTGCAAATCCTACCGAGGCAATAGCATCAGCCATGAGGATGCCTTTATTCGTGGAGATGGCTGATGTCTGTTTAAAGATTGTGGAACAGCCAGACGATGTTAAGCCATGCTAAGTGATTTCTGGGTACGTATTACTAATAAGTGAAGCTGTCAGGCTATATTAAAAGGATGTATTATTTCTTCTATCTGTAAATATATTTTCATACTATGAGTTGTATAAAAACATCATGATTCTGTTTTTCATTTGAAATATGTATATAATAAAAGTACACAGAGTTATATATATATATAAAGATTTATGTATTCTAAATTTATGCATCTCAAAAAATGATACCCATTTTTTTATATATCTTTTTCATATAAATGAGTCATAAATGAATAGATGGAGTATTTATATCTTTATTATGAAATGAGAGATTTTATGATAGATTATATATTAGATGAATAATTCTATATGTTAAGTTATCGGTGCAACGCTTACCTATCGACATACAAAATAAACAAAATGCGGTTTTATTTCATCAAGAGTCAATTAAGACTCTGCAAAGTTATTTTCGTACTCCAAAATCTTGTGCTTTTATTTTCTTTTTTGTTTGTTTAATCAGTCAGAGTTCTGAGTGCGAAGAATAATAGGACGAAATATAATAATCCTCCACATCCTCCGGTATCTGCGCACCGTCCAGTTCGACTGCGAGGGCGTGATATCTTTTTCTAACATGATGGGCTGCCATTTTTGGCTGCCTGTCCCTCGTAAAGATCCCCTTTTTATTGCCGCCCACTCTGGTATACGCTGTAATATGTAAATATTGACGGACATAATTAATAAAAACCGTCTTGCGAGCCAATTTTTCCAAAATTTACTTAATCTTTTAATAATGTTTTTTATGAATTAAAGACAGCTATTAGTTAAACATATATTTGTTTTTTTTTAACTATAATTATGCATAGAAATTGTAAATAAGAAATTGTACAAAATCTCTCAATAATCCGTAATAAGTTTTTACGATAATATTAATTACAAGATGGATTAAAGATTATAATAATGAATTATGTTATTAAATTAATAAATGCTGTGTGTATATGATTTTATTCGACACTTACTTTGTGCTGTGCGGAAATCGGCGAAGTTCCAGATGAATTCGCCAACGAAAAAGCCTTCGTGTCGCAATCGATCGAAGGCTTCAAAGTGTTTGGACAACAATTGTTTCTGATACTCCTCGCTCCATACGTATTCCGGTAGCTGCAAAGAATTAAAGTAAGATGAAAGAAGTAATTATGATGCTATAATAATAAAAGTTTTTCTCTCAGACAAAATAGACAATTAATTTCTATCTTCTAATTTATTTTCTCTTATATCATTTTGCTTTACTTTTGTTTTCTAACTTTACGGTTTTTTATGTTAATAATTTTTTCTCTTTATTTTTTTCTATAAATACATAAATATTAATATAAAATATTTTTTTTTCGTGATATACGAATTTTACCTCGTGCAGACCCGGCATGGTATCAGCTCCGTATTCGGACATAAGTACCGGCTTGTTGTATTTCCTATGCCAAGCCTCGGCTTCTCCATATACCCTGTCGGTGATCATGTCAATCCTGCCGGCGTTGCTATACCAGGCGTTGTAACGATTGAAACTGATCACGTCGAGGAACTGACCAGCTTTGTCTTCCTACAATTTTCAATATCTATTTATTGACAATTTACAACTTATAAGCAATTGTGATGAAATCTGAAGAAAAACTTTTACGTAAAGTAATAAAATTAGATAAACTTACACACAAAATACAAGAAATTTCATTCATGTAACTTTAATTTGATTTAGGTACACGTGAAAATGCTTAATGTGAAAATTAGAAAACTGTCAAGGGAAGATTTTTTTATATCATAGATGTCCAAGTCAGAAAGCAATCATTGATTTTTTTCATCATATTACCTGAACTCCACGAGCCAGAGCAATAGTGACCGGCCTAGTGGGATCGACTGCTTTGGCGTGATGGGCGATCTGCTTGAAGTATTCTTCGGCCTGAGGCAGCTGGGTCCTCGGTTCATTGGCCAGAGACCACATGATCACAGAAGGCCGATTTTTGTCTCTGCGGATGAGCTCCGAGAGCGAGTCCTTGTGGCGTGAAAGCAACGACGGCGAAAAGTTTTCTGTGTCGACGGAAGGACACTCGTTGATCACGAGGAAACCCAATCTTCACAAAATACAATTTAATAAAGTAGAGTAAAACAGAACAAATCAAGATATGTGAAAAACAAACAAGAGATTAAACATTCATTGTAAATTTCTCAGGATATCAGGCAATTCTAGACAAATTTTCGATACCTATCAGCCATGTCGAGAACCTCGTCACTGTAAGGATAGTGGCTGGTCCTATAGGCATTAGCTCCGATCCATTGGAGTAATTCGTGATCCCTGACAGCGGTGACGAGGTCAAAGCCACGTCCTCTGATAGCAGAATCCTCGTGCCTGCCGAAACCACGCATGTACACCGGTCGATCGTTTAATAGGAGACTCGTGTTGGTCCACACCAGGGTCCTGATGCCGATCGGCAATCGGTAGATGTCCGGCTTGGTTACATTCGCCACTGACAACCTCACCTGAAAAGAGATGCGTCATTTTGACAAACAAATCTTAAGATCTTGAAATAACACATTTTAAACATATATCTTATACAAAGAGTCCTTCCGCTCGTTAACATTTTTTAAATAAATTTGAAATTGATTTTGCTATAAAAAAAGTATTAAGACATTTATTTAATTTAGACATTTTTTAAATTTTTGGGTAACCAAGTGATCAAAGATCAAAGTACCTCCAAAGTATATAAGTATCCTGGCTTGGAATCCATGCCTCTGGGCCACCAGAGTCTGACGAACGGAACCTTCACGGTACCGGACAGACCGTAGACGGTCTCCTTTATGGCCAGAACCTGCTCAGTGTCATATAGGGTGACCCTGCAGGTTGGTATCTCTCCCTCGCGTAATCCAGCTGGCTGTATAATATACTTGACAATTCCCATTTCGCCGATCAAGCCCGTCCTCACTGTGATGTCCTCGACATAGACGCGCGGCGCGGTATACAGTAAAACGGATCTTCACAAAGTGTCCCAAAATGTGTGAACTATTATTATACTTTCTATTATACTTTCACAGAATCAAATTTATTTTATTCTGAATATGAGTTTAAGAAACGTCTGATTGACTTTGATTTAATAAATGCAGAATTTCAAGCGCGAAACATCAATATATATGTATAGAAAAAGAAAATTATTTTAAGTTTGTATTATTTGACAAAAAATGATTTAATAGAATCATTAATATTTTATTTAATTATTACAAAAAAATATAAAATATATTTAATTATCAATCAACTATCAAAAAATGCCTAAATCTAATAAAATAAAATAAATTTGAAAATATTTTCATAGATATTTAATATAAATATTATAATCATCTTATAAATAAAAATCTTTCTATACTTTATTTATATATTTCTATATCGGAATTAGAACTCAAATAAATCACTGTAACTATTCTGCAATTATGTTAAATTATTGTACTGTGACTAAAATAATTACATTGTGCATCTTTATTTTTCTACGTTATAGAACCGAGACCTTTTTTATCGAATAACGGAAATCTGACCTCAATTATCTCGTAACGGAATGCTCTCTCTCTAGTTTTTCCACAAAGCCCTTGATAAAGATTTATTTGTGGCGAGTGAAATTCTCGCGTCGGTTCAGAGAGTTTGAAAAACTATGTACGTAATACAATAACAAGACAATGTGATTATACATATTGGGTATATTTATTTATCTGATATAATTGTTGATCAAACCTGTATTTTTTTAAACAGATTATCTCTTTTCAAAGATTGGAGATTTAATTTGACAAACGAGATTCTTCCTCAATTTCTTCTAATCTGCCTATTTTTGTTTGGATAAATTTAGAAAAAATAAATAGATTGAAAGGAATTAGCAGAAATTTGTTCGCATGAATTTAATGTTAATTAAAAACAAAAAGAAATAATAATAAATAGATTCATAAAAAAATTTTTACTTGTTATATCGTTTACGAATGAAGAGTTGAAGATAAATGAAATTGATTTTTGATTGTACGATCTTACCTGTGTATACCCGCGTAGTTAAAGAAGTCGAAGGTATACGTTTGCGTGTGAACGGTGCCGTTGTCAGTAATCATCTCCACGATTCTTCCTTGGGGTATGCTGGTTTGCAGCAGGGTGTTATCTACGGCGACGGTAATGCGATTCTCGCTACCAAAGTTCAAATATGACGAGATTTCCGCTTCGAAGGGCAAGTGGCCCATTTCGTGATTGGTCACCAAGACACCGTTCACCCACTAATTGCAAGCGTACAAAATTACTTATGAATCACATCAATACTTTGCAATTAACTTGAACGTATGCTTCCAAATATCAGATAAAATTTTTTCTAAGAATTATTATTTTTACATTAAATATAAATTTAATTATATATTTAAATCAATATATATTCTTCTTTCTAATCGCGAAAAATCAATGTTTATTATATGACTGAGATTTTGGAAAATATCTTTTCGTTTCTTTTTCATATTTTCTTACTTGTTTCTACATGTTTCCAAATTAATAACAAGTTCTCAATTTGTCGCATTTCGCATCGCTTTGGATAAAAGACTCGTTTAAAAGATGCTTACCACTTGGGCGAGGTAATTGACCGAGCCGAATCTGATGAAGACCCGCTGATCTCGCCAAGATGAGGGCACGAAGAAGGTCCTCTGATACCATACGGCGCCAACGTGGTCCCTAAGATCCCGTGATGTCGTGATGTCATTATAGGATGAGGGTACCGGCATCTTCATCATCGCACCTACCTGCAAAGCCGGTCAAATCTTGCACGAACAGATCTAATGATGGGAATAATGACAGTCAACGTGCAATTACGCGAGATTATAAAAGACACGTGACTTGCAATGCGAACAGAAACTGGGCAAATATAGAATACGATTCAGCATAATGTTTAGTGTGTCAAGAAATCGTGCTAAATAATAAATGCATAAAGTAATGTAAATAATAATCTAAAATTTACGCAAGATTTTACTACAATTCTAAAGAAATTATTTGGATAACTTTCAGCTCTCTTTTTTTCAATTGAATAAATTTTTAAATTACGATTATTATTTGATCATGCCTTTTTAAATTACAAATTTTTTTAAAATTTGACTTATAACTTGAGATATAAAAAAATCTGGAGAATTGTTAACGTTTATAAAAATTTATTTATTTGTATAGTAATTAATTTAAATTAATTGTAATTTTTGTATGTGTGTTATTGTTAATTATTATCTCATATTAGATTACGATACCTTCGATAGATCATCCAAGGCGTACCATCCTTCTCTATAACCCCTTAGCGCATCTCCTTCGGGTGACACGACGAAATCCCATAATCCATCGAGCGATCTTACCTGCAAAAAAAAAGAGATAAAGAAATAAATAAAATGCAATATACTTTTTTGTTGCGTTCTTATATAAAAATTTTATTAAATATAGAAAATTATAATCAAACCAATATAAAAATGCATCAACACAGACAATAATTTTTAACTTACTATATAAATGTTTATTAATTTTTTATTATATTAATATTTTTCTTATTAAAAACTAAGAAATGTTTAGAATCGTAAATTTAATAAGCGAAATAAATTAAATTTGAGATCGCAAACATATTAAAGGCTTTCATGATGAATATTAAGTCATGCTTCTTTCGATTATAAATTCGATTTGTAGAAATGTAAAACCGTGGGTTGATTATCTCAGATTCGCAGATTTGAGCGCCGTTAAAAGATCAGCATAATGTCGTGTCATGTAACATTTACCTCGCGGGATTCACTTTCTCTAGGATACAGCAGACCAGGAAGCGGAGTCGGAAATGCCTCCTCATAAGGCAACGGTGCCTCGATCTTGATCGTTGTGTCGAAAAAATCCGTTGGCGACTCCGGTCCTGATTCCCCGGCCATCGCAGATCCGATTAATAGAAAGATTAAATGCCACATACTTCTGCGGCCCTCCTGAATCAGCACCCGCATTCGTATAATTAAGAGTTCTTAAGATTTACACTCAAGATTATAAATAAATCGATGGTAAAAAATGATGTAATTACGCGAAATTACATTTTTAGGGAATTAAAGAAAAAAAAAACCATTATTTAAATAAATCTTTTTTCTCGTAAGAATAAAAAAATGATATTTTATAAATATCACTTGTTTACAGGGTACTATAAAACTACATGTTCTAGAATTGATATTTGATATGAAAATTTAATGATAATTATGGATTATATATATGTAATTAATTTTATACAGCTATAAAATATAATTAAGGAGAATTTAATATGTATGTAACATAAAATGAACCTCTCTAAAATATATAAAGAACACAATTAAATCACAATAATTAAAATCTCATTGAAAATCTTTTGTTGTACAAGTTACAATATTAATCAATAATAAATGAAAATATGTGAATACTCTCGCGAGTAGTCAGCTATTTTCAGGATTGCGTCATTTTCTATGATAAATGAAAATAAGAATTGTAAGTAATTGTGAAAGCGTACACACAAAGGCTGACCTGATATGATATAAAACAATTTTTTTTTTTTACAGATTTATTTAACACGGAGAATAACCCTTACGCTTATCGTTTAACCTTACGCCATGTCAAACACTATATAACTGTCAGTTATCTCTCATTGCCTATTTCTCTATGATGATATGACGAATAGTGATGATGAGTGCTTGTGACCCCCTTTCTTCACAATGAATAGTTATGATTTGCAACTGTATAAGTATTACACGATTCTCTCCGAAAATGTCTTAGAATATTGTTCTCGTAAATGTTAAGGTATTTACATACATATATTACAATAGCACATAATCGGTTTGCACTTACGTTTACGATACGACTAATTATCCGAATCGACTAAACGCGGCAGCTGACTGCAGTCGACTGATTCAATAGCATCGAATATCCGATACAAAATCAGCGAAATCGCGCATCTGATAAGAAATTCGTTATTTCTACACTTTTGCGCCGTTTTGAGATAATATTATCTTTCCATTGACACAGAAAATCCAATATTATATTAAATAAATATGGTAATGATCTTCTTATGACGTTATCACACACACATCGCGAATCGAATACATGGCGAGGAGGCTGATTGTATGCAATTATATTTAACACATCAACAGAAATTGAAATAATCGAAAATGTTCTATCTTTTTTGCCTCAAGTAAAGAACATTTTTTTTTACAAATTAAGTTTAATTAAAAATTTGAAATTTAATTTATTAATATATGTATTTTTATGTATTATTGTTGACTTCTAGAATAAATTATTTATTGTTTGTGAAACATCTATCTATGATGATAACATATAATTTAAAAATGTGCGTTTCCTTGATCACTAACTATATCTTTTACGTCATATTTTTTTTCAAGATTATTTGAGATAAAAACGTTAAGAACAATAAGTTGCGCAATTTGTTTAGCAATTATTTCTATTTTCTGTTCAAAGGTATGTTCCATTGGATAAAAGTTGTTCGTGAGCCGTCTCCTGTGACTGCTTATGTTTTTTTTTTTTTTTAATTTTATTCCACACTTACGAAGAGAGGAAGACCGGTCTTCTGGCATTTATTTTTTCATCTGAAGAGATTCTAAGAAGTGCTCTTCGATAGGGAATCATAAGTTTCACAGTTTATCCCGATAATAATTCGTGCTTAAGAAATCGTATTGCATTTCTTGTTACTACAATTTTTTTCAAAAAACGAACTTGTAAAAATTTTATAGTTATTATAACAATTGCATATCTCTCGTAAATATAAAAGAATAAATTAAAATTACTTATTTAATTATTAAAGAATCAAAAAAGGAACTTTGAGATATAAAACATAATTGAAGAACTTAGATATCCTTGCAAATTTCTAGGATCCTTCAAATTTTCAAATCCGCGACTGTAAGATTCTTTTTTTTTTCTTAAAACAAATTTATTAAAATAAATTTGTAAATTTAAAATAATATATCTTATATAAATAACTTATATTAATATTAAAATATTTGCACATAAAATGTCTTACATTAGATCCAGAAATATGAAAAGAAATAAAAAGTTAAAATAACTTTAATTCATTTTTCGCTTTAACGAAAAATTGACTGAAATTATTTTGAACATTTCAATGTGTGTGTATGTGTGTGTATTCCATTGTATAATTCAAAAACTCTTTATAAATACCGCAATATTGGAAATAAACAAGCATAATAATATTCATTTTTGATTAATAAAATTAATTTTTGTCGAAGAGTGGACTTTAAATTGCACTTATTCAAACTAATTTGTCTTTTTTTCAATGAAAGAATCTGTCTGATCAGGTGATTGGTTTCGCATGACCTTTCGACGAAAGCTAACTGCCGGGCAATGAGCCTGTCGCACCCTACATACACACACATTCCGCGGGATCTCGTTCGCAGCAATATCGGCTTCCTGGCACCGTGCCCTCCTACGAGAGCAGACTTCCCTTCCCAAAGCATCAAATCGTTTCCTCGTGTCGCATATACAGATCTACTACGGCACTGGTGTCCCTAATTCCTCGAATAGACACCATTGTTCAGATTTGAATTTTAACACCCGGTAATAATATACAGCCACTGAGAACCACAATTTCGCCATATTTGTTACTTTAAAATTTTGTTATGCGAGAGATTTTCTCCGAGGAAATTTATGTCAGTCAGGCGCGATATGCGAAACATTCACCACTTCTGACAAAAAAGGAAAACCAAAATTAATGATTTTTAATTAATGTTGTTGTGTAATTAATAATAATTAATAGAATATAAAAAAGAATGTAACTACAATATAATTATAGAATAATTGGAATATTTCTATTGTAATAATTTAAATTTTAAACAAAACGCATTACATCAAATATAAATAATTTTTAATGTATATATAAATCCTAAATATAAAATTGATTTCAATTCTCTCTCATAGAATTTAATTATCTATTACATTAACTGTCAATAAAATTTCTAATCGCGGCCTCGTTTTTCCTCCGATTTCTCTCGATTTGCGCTAGCATGAATAATTCGTTGACTCAATTTCATGTGCGAGATAATTGATCCGCGAAAGCTATAAGACTTCAAAATAAATGATCCTAACGGGCGCTCTCGCATGCGCATTTTCGTAACACCCGCCGCGTGGTTGAATTTATTAAGACCGATATATTCATATCTCGAACGCGGTGAAGTGTAAGAGGCGCAATTACTAGAGATGAAAATGGAGCAGTAATAATATAACGATGCTAATATTCTATCGCCATAGGGTAGGTCAGATTACCTCATTGTGCAGTTCTCTTAGAATTATTTAATTATTGCATATATAAAAAATAAATTGAGAAAGATAAAGCAAAAATAGAATAAAAATCTAGATCATGCAAGATATTTTTTATTGTTTTAGTCTATTAAATTTTACGAAGATAAATTGCTCATAGGACAGATATTTTAAATGTAAAAGTATGCCGTTATAATCGATAAGCGAGTCGATCGATTTTCCGCGCTTAAGGCATGCAGGAAATTACATTGGACGGTGTCTGGAAAATGAAGTATCGTCCGGTCGCCGGAATTACGGCTTTTCGGCCGAAATTTCAGAACGGATTGCCGACAAATCGTTGCGAATTTATTGTTCACCGGCTTCGGGGAGACATCTTTAAATTACCAAAACGGGACGCGCCGAGAAATATAGAGGGATCTGCGATTAATGGTCATATTGTCCAAGCTCTTAAGTGAGCAGATAATTTATACAAACGCGCATCGTTATTTTGATATAGAAATAATATTGTTTGAAAAAGAAGTACAAAAATAATGGGCCAATATAAAAATGTTCTTAACAAAAAATTTTTTTAAAGAACGTAGATATATATATATAATTAATCGTTGAAATATCTTTAATAGGTATAAGTGAGACGTTTCAATAATTACTTGTGGCTGAAGAGACAATAAGTGTCGAAACATTCCACTTATATTTATTAAAGATATTTCGACAATTAACAATTAACAACTTTTTTATGCTCATATCGGTTCATTATTTTTGTACTTATTTTTTCAATATAATTAACTCTCCTACCTAAATTTATTAATACTTTTTAATATCGTAATTTAAGATCAGTCAAATCTATCGTCGAGTACTTTTTGTCGTTACACTGTTTGATAACGAAAAGATACGAGATCAACACGATTATGATGAAAAGACTCATCGTTATTCATTAGTGTAGCGTTAATCATATGGATAAACTAATGGATTACATTTCATTAATTAAACTTCACTTTATTAAAGATAATTGCTGCAAAAATAAATAAAATGCAAATGTGCAAATGTTTTCCATGCGTATATAAGATATCAAGAACGTATTGTAATTAATTAGATGTTATATACATCTGTCAATCAAACAACTGTGAATTTTTATTAATAATCTAAACTTTTAATTAAGCGTATTATTTATTTCACGTATTATTTAATTAATAATATTATTAAAGGAGAAGCAACAAACCTTGCAGCGGTCGCCGCGCTCCATCGTGAGTCTGGTCACAGCATCTGACGAAAAATTGCCGAAAAGTGAAGCGGCTCCAGCCATCTCTTAATGTATCTGAGCAATTTTAATTATACATTTAAAATAAACCCATGTGAAAAGAATCTTTTTCTCTCGTGAACGATACCACTCGTAAATTCTTTTCTCTTTTTCTTTATATCACGCGTCTTCGTGCTGCCTTCTTTCCGTTCTTTGGAATTTCACTTGACTTTTGTTTTATAAATACGTTTTTATTTTTTTCTTCCTTCTCTTTTTATACCATGTTTCGTATTTATTTGCTTGATTCTAATATCGATACTTGGCTCATGTAATCAAAAATCTCTCTTCCATTACCTCGTACTAGTGTTCTTCAAACTCAGTTCAATACAATTCTTTCCTTTTGTCTATATAGTTAGAACTGCGTTATCTTATTAATAGATGGATAAAAAAACCTATGTCATATTAATGTAATTAATACAACAGTTAAAGTTATAAAGACTGACGGAAACAAACAGTTATCTCGCCAATTCGAAATTAATCGTCGTAATTGCACTCACGTCAGTCGCCATTAATTTCGATTGCACATAAAATTTTCTCTCCTTTGCTTAAGTCATAGCGAGAAGCACCAAGTGTTCAAATCCGCGCATTAACCCGGAGACTGAGAACTGTCGGCGTGCAACACTCGAGCTTGAGCCTCGGGCTCGCCGAGCGTGACTACTCCGCTCCGCTCGTCGCCGAGCGGAGCGGAGACCCGCAGGAAGCCGACCCGAAAATCTCGCTCTTCTCTTCTCGCTTCCTCGTATTCTCGCTCTCCCCATCGTCATTTTCAAGAAGTCTGAGACAAGTCTACAGATAAAGATTATTTAACGAAAAAGATTCGGGACGCTATCATCATAGAAGTATTTGAAAGAGAAAAAGAATTAAAATTATAACAGTTATTGCGTCCTTCCAATCATAAATCTTCCACATATTTATATATTTCAAATATTTATTATATAAAAGCATATCATAAAGTTTAAATAAATTATTAAAATAAATTTATATATTTATGTTTAGAAATGTAAAAATTCTACAAATATTATGTATCATTATATATTAATTGCCCATATAATTGCATATTTAACATTTTAAATAATATAAATATTTCTGATGAATGAATTTGTTGTATTAACAATATATAATAATGCATTAATAAAAGAAATCTCTGGTAATTTAGATTAATGAGAATAAGTGTCTAATAAGAATACAAAATTTTATCAATATAAAATATAAAAAAGAAGCATTATTTTATATAAATCAGGTTATCAATATTATTATTTTCTTCTTATCAATATTAAATAATTATTAAAAAATAATTTAATCGTTATATTTAAGATTAGAAATTGAATATTCTGAAAGTCATCAAGTGAATTTTAATGTGTTATTGCATTTTCATGATATATTCTGAATACATAGTCGCAATTAAATTTTTGGAGAGAAATGCTAATCTCTATTAGAAAGCGAACATAAATTACAAACTACACATTTTAAATAAACTCTCTACTAGAATTTACTTTCTTTCAATTTAATTTACTTTTAAATTTGAGCATTGTTAAGTGTGTCTTTTTACATATCTGTCGCATATCTTCACCTCATTTTAAGTGAAACCGTTGTTGTTTGTTACGCATTAAGGTCGATTCAGACTATACGACACGGACCATAACGTATCGGCAACCATGCACCGACACGACTTTGTACAATGCATTTTAAATAAGACTGTCTACACTAATCGGCACTGACCGGCACGTTTCGACAATGGAACGTTTCACATTTATACGTGCGATTACTGCTATCACATGTTTCTGTACGTGCTTCGCCTTTTTTTAAATTAAATCACCATGTATAACTGATATTGTTATCGTTCGCGAGTTGTCTATCTATTATAACAAAAGATTATATTGTTAGAGAGAAAAAGATAAATCAAATAAAATAATATAAAATACGATACTTAAAGATAAATAAAATAAAAAAATATAAAATACAATAATATGATTTCCAATACTGGCAATATATATTCAAGCAATAGTCTTTATCATTTCCGTCATATTATTTAATTATTTGTTCATCCACTTGACATATTGACGAAAGAAAAAGTTCAATTACTAACCGTAATCAAACAGAAAGAAACTCGTACAATTTTAATCAAAAAGTTCAAAAAATATACATATTTATAATTAAGAAAAAACTTCTACGTATGTGTGTGTGTATCGTGCGATGAAAAAATCAAACAAATGATATTTTCTCGCGACTACGACGATTCTCGTAATGTAACTTCTCATTCTCGGTTTGTTATCATCATCAAAGAAGTACCTGCCTTGAGGCACTATCAATGGACGATCTCGAGGATTGCGGAAAGGAAGAAGAAAAGTGGAAGGAAGGAAACGGCGAGTGCACTCGGGTTAACGACCATCCGATAAGACGCCAAGAGTTCGACGATCGATAGCGTTTTGCAGCAAATATTTTACGTTTATCCATCTTTTTTCTCTCGAATATTCCTCTCTTTTTTTGTATACTGAAAATTAAAACAAAATAAACAATTAAAGTAAGCAGACATAATTGCCGATCGTGGAATTGATCGTCTTTTAAATATCTCTTTATTTAAATTAATCACAGAGTACGACAAGGAATCGAGAGAGAGAGAAAGAGAGAGAAAGAGAGAGAGAGAGAGAGAGAGAGGAGATACATAATTCCTAATTCGTAAGATCTTTAATCAAATATAAGTGCACACACACATACAATATAAAATGTAATTAATTAATTAATTCTAGATAGATTTCTTTGTTGAAAAATTAAATATCAATATTTTTTTAGCCAGCAATTGTCACTAATTTTTGAATCTATCAAAAATAATCTTTAATCTTCTTCGCAAATATATCTTAAATATCTCTCCGCGCATGCGCAATATACGTGACAAAATGAAAAGTATTTCATACGATATAATATGTTATACAATATAACCACCTGCGATATAATATCTGATATAATTATGTTATATATCGTACGAGATATACCTATATAAATGTCCTAATTATTCTGACATTATTATATATATTCTATGTATTATTATAACACATCGACGTATTGGTTCGCGTGTCATGTGTACGTCGTGTTTATTTTAGGTTTACATACCAAACGCGCGGTAAAAACAAAGCCGACCTTTTTTGCTAAAAAATGTCAACAATGTACGCATACGAAGCTAAGAGGGGCTTACAGGCTTACAGTTCGATTCCGATGCTTCTCTCGTCAACATCTTCTCGTTCTCGGGAGATTCTTTTTTTTATAAACATAATAAATGCGGACTGCGTTGTTTTAATTAAAAAGCGTCGCGCTTTTAGAAAGAGAAAGGATGCTTCGACCAATATTAGTTCTTCTCTCTCTCTAGCGTAAGAGAGGTAAAAATAAGGCGCCCTCTTTCCAATATCTGCACAGAGATAGTTCACGATTAAGATAGCGAGTGCGCCATCTCTATATTTATTACGTCTATGCTTCTCAATGCTCTGGAGGATACTCTACTCTACTTTCATTGTCAAACATCACAATAAACATCGAATGTACAGCTGTTGTTACTCACCGTTTATTTTACAAGACGGATATATTTCTCTACGTTTCATTCAACGATCTTTACTTAAGTAGAGAGCGAAGGGTATCTTGACATAGAAATCTTGGCGATTCGAATTCTACAAAGTTCGAATCCGTGTTCATATTCACGTCGCGCGTTATCCCTAACTAGTCGATAAATGAAAGATCTACTTTATCGACGGCTCCTCGTTCAAATTCTCAGTTAACGTCCGGCGGCCGACCTGCGAGCATTTCAACGATCTTGATGCCGTTTCATGTAAGTAATTTTTTAAATTAATATTCGCTTAAGCGTCTTATACGCTATTTATAAACTTGATATATTAAATGTTTTCATTGTATCGCTTGATATATTCGTCTCACTAGCGTTGTTTTTAAGACCACAAGTCAATATTTCTAGAATCACAAGTTTTTCGTGTATCGCAAAATCATGATGGCATCGTTATAATTGCTACAACGAGAATAATTTCGGAGATATATACATTAATAAATACACAATAAAAGTTATTAAGTGTAGAAGAAAAAAAGGTTTCATTAAAAATTCTTGCTGTTTTTTAAATAAAGTAGTCTTTAAGCGTGAATTCTTAATTGTTAATCGGAAGATTTATTTGATATATATTTAACGATTTATTTGAATATATTTATTAACGAACGCTAGAAGAAATTCCGTATTTTCAGCAATTATATATTGTGTTATATATTTTTGGTATATTTTTCTTACATTTTTGTACTACATTTTATTTAAATATTATGTTCTTTATTTTCTTTTTCAGAATTCCAGACGATATGTGTATATGTATGCGTATCTGTGAACCCGGATTCGCGCATCGCGTCGCTCGCGTAAAAAGCGACCATAGATCACGTAATACGCGAGTCGCCGTACTCACCGTCGGCGCGGTGATCGCGGCAACTCTACGCGCATGCGTCCTACGCCCGAGTCCCGTAGCCGGCGCGCGGCGCGCTAGCCGTACATTCGGGTGCGGAGTTTCGGAGTCGCGCGGCGTGCGAAGTTCCTCGTTTTCCGCGTTTCCGCGTCGCGTTTTCGTCACGACTTCTCGCCGCGCGCGATACGCGTGGTCGTCGAACGATTTCGCGAGTGCCGAAAGTAAGTGCCGGGCGTAATCGATCGTGTTCGATCGCGATCGCGAAGTGTCCGATGGCGCGACAAAAGTTTCTCGCCGCTCGAGATCGTTGCCGATCATCTGCCGCCGATCATCCTCGCGTTCGTTTCGTCAAGTTCATTGTGTCTCGTGTGTTCGCGTACGAATCATCGTGTCGAATTGACAAGATGTAATAACGATTGATAAACCGTCGTTGTGGTCATTAGGAATGCGATAGAAAAAGACCGCCATGTTGATTTCGCGTCGCCGCGAAATTCAGATCGCAAGTGAAAATATTCATCGCCGTAGTTCCCGCGCTTTCCGTCGACGATGAATCGCGCGTTATGTCGGAAACGCTTGCGAGTGTCGTATGAAAAGTGTCTCGCGTTTCGTGAAATAATTGTTCTCGTCGTGAGATCGGAGAAGATAATCAACTGCGTCGCCCGATAAAGAGGACGATCCTTTGTATCGAGGTTCTTTGATGACACGATCGACGGTGTTTTGGCAGCAGTGCAACCGAGTGCAACGATCGGTGAGTAAATTTATTATAGAAATTTATAATAGAAATGAGATTTTTTTTTTCATTGATTTAGAGAGAACATTATTTTAAAAGAAATATTATTGGAAATTAATTATTCATTTGTGTGTGTAATTATGTTTGAAAATATTGACGAATAATTTTAATATTAAGTTTTAATATTTAATAAAATTTCCTGATTAATTCATGGGAAACATTTCTTTAAGAAATATAACAAAATTAATTATTTTGAATTATTTTGAATTTATTTAAATAGATGGATTTTCTGCGATTTTACGATTGATCATTGAAAATAATATTTTATCCGCTTTATTTCAAGCTGGTTTTGCTTAAGTAGGGTCTCAGTCTACGCAAAGCTTATTTGAAATGAAGGAAAAATTAAAATTATTTAATAAAGCATTTTATTAAAAATAACAAAAAGAAAAACAATAATTTTCAATAACATTTCTTCAGAAATGAAATCGAGACCGATATCTCTCTCA